TTCTGTCCTGGCCTATCTATCTACTCTTTACCCTCTTCTCCCACTGCCACATTATCACAACTTCTCACTTATTTACATTCCAATCGTCAAAATGTGTACCCTTTTTTGGCAAACCGAGTGTGGCCTAATCACACTTGCTATTTACCCCGACCCCTCTCTTTCGATCGGCTGATCCGACTGGGGCCTCCATTCCGGATTCCCTCATTGTTTCGTAGATCCGTTCCTTATCTTTCTGGTTGACTGATTTCACTCGATTCCCGTCCCTGTATGCATTTCTCTCCAGGTGCTATTTCTTAAGGCCCTAGAAGCACGTACACTGTCGCCTCAATGAGCAGAGCGCCTAAGCCCTGATTGCCATGCTTGCAGATATCAGACCTTCCCTTCATGGGTCCTCTCCCTGATTAAACCCATGTTATCTGAGCAAACTGTGGACGCCTAATTCTGGTCGCATGCGGCCTCTCAAGTGGATTTCTAGTACATTTGGGCCATAATCCCGCATTTCTGTGACGGTTTGCTTATCCGTCTGCCCAGCTCCCTGACTGCCAGGCCCCCAAAGTTGTACTGGTTTATCCGAAATGGACATCACACACTGACAACGTCTTCGCTTGATTGCCGAATACCCCTGTCCCACAAATTCCTCAACGTGATCCTCAACGTTAGCGGTAGATACTTGAACCAGGCGTCTTCTTCTTGCTGGTCTTGCTCTATTGTTTTCCCCAATTTTGCTTAGGCAGTAGGCAAAATTATCGCTAACTCTACCATCCTCCAATATCTTGTTCATTAGATTTGTGTCCCCAAGGATGTCAATGGCCTCCCTAATCTTCCGCTTCCTTATGTTGTCACCGTATGGAGCTTTCCGTTCTGTTGCCTTCCAATCGATCTCGTGTCCAGTCTGCGTGATGTGTTTCACTAGTTCTGATCTTTCGGTATCCATTTTCTTGCAGAGCCTCTGATGTTCCTTGATTCGTGTGTTACTTTTACCCTGTTTCGCCAATATATTTCTTTCTGCAGGCGCCGCATGATATACAGTAAACTACTGAACAATCCAATTTGTCTACCCTTCACAAGTCTACCGAAGCAACTAGAAAGGGTAGATACATTGGATTGTTCAGGGTATAAATGACATGTAGGGTAGACAAGGATAGCCCTCTTGACTTATAATTTATTAAAAGCTTTTTGAATAATAAGTTCCAGCCTAGAAAATTTTCGTAAACTGACATGACGGAAGAAATCGTGATACAAAATATGAATAAAAACTGGGTTTCGCAGAATTCCTTAATCAAATATTGTGGCATGACTCTCCATTTCGAGGGGAAAGTTGGTTGGAAGGAATTCGTGATGTGGTTTCGCCGGAAACCGGATGAGGATTGCTGCATAAAGAAGACTGTTGAAATATGCGAAGAAGTCGTCGGCTCAACGTTCTGCGACCGCGATGCAATTGTGCTAAGCTTTTGTCTGTACCGGCGTGAAAGACATCATCAGAACAAGCTTCCATACTTTAGGAAATAGAGCAAAAATATGCCAAACCATCGTCGCTTTTATATACACACAATATCGTGATCTTAATGAGGTCTCCCCTGATTTGGTTGGCTACTTCAAGCTTACTCTACATGCTTGCAAATGAGTGCTATTGTCTTTGTGTGTATGTAATGCACATGCAATAAGAAGTATGATAGTCCTAGCTAGGCACGAGGCTAATCCAACCTCCTTTCTTGTTCAGAAGCTCTTTCTGCACCACCTCACTCTCCCTTTCCGTAAATCTATCTAACAGCTACAAAATGTTCCTTCTTAGTTTTCTACACTCGTTCGTCCCATTGAGGACGTTGACTGTTTTGTTAACTTCTATCAACTCCCTAATCTTACGCTTTGACGTAAAGTACCCGTAACCCGCAAAACGTTGCGTTTGGGATCAATCTATTGTGCGTCCTGTATTGGCCATTCATTCAGTAAGCTCAGATTATTGGACCCACAGACCTTCACAAGACGGTTTTGCGTTCGCATTGTCTCTTGTGAATGGGTCGACAGGTTTCCCACCCATTACCCTACCACATGAGCACAAAACCTTGTGGCAGCCCGATCTAGAAAGAGGGTCTGATTATTCTCTAAACAAAGGAACTACTGAAGAAACTGTTAATTACTCTTTATACATTGTTTTTATGTTCCATTTCCCCAGTAGTGCACCAAACTTTTTCGCAAGATGACAAGAAGGCAAAATCAGGAACCTACTATTTTTGCTCTCTATCTATGGTTCGGGAAAGAATTAATAAGGAAACCCGCGTGAGTGCCGAAAACAAGGTCAAACAACTTCTATACAACGAAAGGAGATTGTGACCACACAAAAGGCCACACCATCTTGATCTTCATACCTTCCATGTAGAATAAGTTTGAAGCAGCTAATCAAATCATGCGATGCCTCAATAAGATCGCGAAGTTACATGTATTATAAAGAGAATAGGCTTGCATCAGGCTACCTTTCTCTTGATTTAGTATATTTTTGCTCTTTCTCGTAAATTATTGAATCTTTCTCTGATGATGTATGTGACAGTACAGAAGAAAGCTCAGCACATTTTCATCGGGGTCGCAGGTCGGTGAGCCGAAGACTTGTTTGCCCAATTCAATATTCTTCCCTACGCGACAATCCTTCTTCGGTTTCTTGTGGGACCACATCACTAATTCCTTCCATCCAACTTTCCTTTCGAAATGGAGGGTCATGCCACAAGGCTTAATCCGAGGGCAGATGTTTTGTGTACCAAGTCAGTCTGAAAGTCGTATTGGAGTCAAATGCTGGCAGAACAGGAGTAATCTGACGTCTTCTTCTGTCAAGAACGATTTAGGATTAACCTTCATGCGAAATGAAAGTCTCCATAGCATGATATTTTTTAGATCCTTCAAGCCCGTTTGTCCTTCGTATCTACGTTATAAAAGCCCAAATTTAGTACCAAATCATAAAGATTTTATAGTCTAAGGAGAAGAATAACCCAGACGACGTAGGTCAACAATTATGTCTGAATGCGATTATGTGACGATTTCTTACATTTAACTTTTCCGTCGAAATTTAAAGGTTTGTCACACATCACAAAGAGATCCTTCGAAATCCATCGGTTCTTATAGATCGAAATGTGCTCACTGAACAGATGATTACAATGTTGATTTTGATAGCAAATACTAGTTTACCTCATCGACATCAGTAAACAAGTATAAGATCTGTATCACCCTATTCCTGTTGAATAGATGAAGGACTTGTTCCTAAATTTTCCCATAATCATTTGAGTGGTCATAATGCTTCCATTTGATTCCGAAAAAGTATTCCTATCCAAGCAAGATTTGAAGGTCTCATCACCACCCCCAGCTGAATTCGAACTCTGGTGTTGTAAAGTACGATCTCGACACATTAAACACTACGCTAGACTGCCACAAGTCACGGCAGGGAAGAGAATTCCACGAAAGCCTTGGTTTTTTCTATACGGCAATTCTGTGGTGGGATTCTCGGAGAAGCAAAGTTGTACTTGTTGTAGCTATCAGTTACATTGCTACTACATTTTAAGCGTTGAAACTTTGAATTTCATCCTCGATGAGAGCTCTTTGTGAAGTAATGCTGGGTGTAATTCAACAGCTTCGTATCATCGTTGATGCATCACCTCAGCCGACCTACGCTAATTACTCTTATTATTCTCGAATTATGATAATAAATCGTGCTGATATTCACGCACTTTTGAGGCATTGAACTAACGAAAACATGCATTTAGAAGACACTTTTGCCAGTCTACGTGCTCCCAAGCTGGTATCTACGTTCGAAATATCCTCTCAGAGTAGTGATGACAGAGGCTCTATGGCGATTGTAAAGATAAGCATCACATAAGTCTTAGTTGACGACTCGGAATTGTTTAGTTGAGCTGCTTGCTTGGAAACGGGTGTGAGGCTGATACTCTGAAGGGGAGGCTGAGAGGGCCGGTTCTCAGACTTGAATCGGTCGAGAGACCAGTCGGTGGGCAGTGGTAGGTGTGAAGGGTGAAGACGCCAAGTGAAGCAGGTATGCAAATGTCGGCTGTGAACGAATTTGCCAGTTTCGTGAGCCGACACCTTCGCGGGTCCGAAGGAAGAAACAAATGAGTCTAGGCGACCGCAAGGACCGTACATTATGGGGAGGGTGATACAGAGACAATCGCCATTCTCAAGATCCCAGGCTGAAGATTGCTGGAATGAAGGCCTAGTCGCTGTGTCGAGATCCATACTTGCTAGGTCCAGTCAAGCGGATCAAACAGGGCCCAGAATAGTCGGCTCTGTCAGACGAATCTGTGTGTTTCATAGGGCACTTGGTCAAGCGTATTGGTAGGTAAATATATGCCTAATCTTGGAGACATCAGCGAAAGCTTGGTGACGAACGTGCCTGTCAAGCCTACTCACCTGCAGACAATCGCTCTCTCTCTCTCTTACACACCCACCCACACACACACACGCAATGTTTGGTGTGCTAGCCGGTTAGGTGTGAAACCACCGGTCAGCTTAGCTACTCAACGAGAGACGTCGTCCAGACACAAATTGTTGCCAGGCCTAAAGCCTTAGATCCAAATTGCCAGCTTCAGTGGACAAGTTACACAAATGAGAGAGGTCCAATATGGATATTTTACCAAAATGATTAGCTTGAACCTTCCATATGTTGAGTTAAAATATTCTTGGTTGATTATGTAAGATAAGAGATGTATTCACACATGTTTGCATAAAGTAATGCTGAACTGATGGGTAAATTCTCCCACAACCATATGAAGAGGTCTCCCGTTTCCAGTTAACTTCACAGTGCCCGGCCTCCCAAAAGGCTTTGCCATCCAGGCCTGATTGGAGTGCAGTTTCGACCTCGTTTGAGATTTATCAACACCTTCTTCAGGACTCGAATCCAGGCAGTATGGGTGCAAATTCGACACTTTGCCACCACGCCACACTGTTACAGTTTCTAGTCGGTCACTTAGCAGCTGTGACTTTAAAAGCAATCAAGGCATTCTTCATATCACTTTTTGCTGTGGGACTTTCGATGTAGCAAATTTTTGCTTGACATTCAAATCGACTACATTATTTATGGTCAAAATAAGTAGATTTCAAAACAACTAGTAGAACTTGAAGTTAAACTTTATTCATTCTCAATCGCATAAGGTGATGAAGGGCAGATAGTTGAATTTTTCCACAATCATATAATTAAGTCTCACATTTCACATGGATTTCACATAGCCGTGCTGCCAGAAAGGTCCGCTCATGGGGTCGAGCATAGTAGGAAGCACGGCTATATGAAACTCACTAGAAACTCACATCATTGTGGACACCTTATGCTACCTAAGAGGAATACAGCTCTAATTTTAGATCTAGTGACTATTTTTAAACCTGCTAAATACGAAAGAAGATGCATCCTTCATAAAAACAAGGCTTAGAAGACACTATTAATGAAAATATAAGAGTATGGACTGTCTAGGGGCCAAAAGAGGTTTTTCCTAGATTCGGAGCTATTATTTCCTACGTAGACATAATCGGTTCATCTCTCTGCAACATCGATGCATCGTCATGTGAGAAGTGATAGCTTAACAAAAAAATGACCGTGGTCGTGGGACTACTTACAACAACAAGACAGTCACAAGTGCAACATAGACATTCTTCTCTTTACAGTGAAGCAACATATCATACAAAATGAAGCGTCGATTTACAAGCAAAAGTAAGAGCATTTATTACGAACACTTGACTTACTCTACAGAATATGGGATCATCAACTTTCACAATCATCATTCGTAACGCTGATAAATCAAAGGCTGTCGTTCAATAAACCCTAACATTTTTCCTTAGGATAGGCAGTAGTATAGACCGCAGTAGAATTTTCCCCGTTATAAATAAAGTATGCTGATTTTTTAGACTTTAAAATAACAAAATTGTGTTGACCTCGTTGTCGCAACTTAATCTTGTTGTCCCGGAGGATTAGGAGAACGCACCTGGTCCAAAGTGCTCTGCAATAGTCATTATCATAATTCCGAGCATCAGACAGTGGACTTGGTACCTTCTCAAACTTGGAGATTATGAGAAATGCTATGACAGAGAACTTCAGACAAGGTGCGTGCTACTAAGTCA